TGGAACTGTTGAGTTTAAATATTATGTTCAAAAGACTTTGAAGCCATGGGAAACCAAAATCTGCACTTTGTTTAACCTTTTATGATTCAAGCATCTTTCGATGACCGACTTGTTTGATTTAAGCTCAGCGATGTTTTGTCTTGTTGTTCCACTTGTTTTGTTTTATTCTGTGGAGTTGTACTTCTTCTGTACTGTTAAAAAAAAAAAAAAAAAAAAAAAAAAAAAAAATCTATATTCGATTAATCCAGTATCACATACAGTATTAGTAAAATCAGACTCTATTTATTGACCTGATATTCATCACACTATTCAGGTGGTCATGATTTTTTTGTTTTTTAATAATTAACTCTTCATGCATGCATGTGTTCTATAGTGAGATGACCTGACAGAAGTTGCTGTAAGCTTTTAGCGACCATCTTATCATACACCAGCAAGCCAATGGGGTTTTTTTGCATACAATTTATTGACATTGTTAGTTGCCAAACTATGATCAAGACCTCATCACATACAGTATAAACCATATACAGCACTAAAATGACTCAGTTAATAGTGATCACAGACAAGAATAATGCTAATGTGGTCCATTTTAAAATGATCTCCTACTCCTGGTACTTATTTGTTCTTGATTGCTGCTTAGTAAAACTTAGTATAACAAATTCATTTAGAACTAGTGCAAGACATTTCACTTCAGCCATCATCAACATGAGAATAATGTTAGATGTTGTATCTGACTCTGGAGGACTCGTAGTTAGAGCCTGGAAGCTAGATTACATTCTACTTCGTGCAATAAAATAGATATATATTCATTTATTCTTAGCCAGTGAGATGAAAACAGTGTTATGATTTGTGCTAACAGCCCTTTTGCTGTCTCTGCTCACACCATATCAATGAAACATGGTGCTACAGGCTTAGATAGCAAAGTTTTGCTCTTTAAAAGTCTAGAAAAAACACAGCTGTGCACTATTCTCCATGGTCTTATTAAGCATAGCCATCGATCATGGCCTATGGGTCATTAAATATTCCTCTGTTGATATCTGAGATGTATGAGGTCGGTGGAAAAAAGGTCTGAAAATCTGTGAGCCAGCAAGCCAGAAATGCTCCTTTATTTCCTCAAAGAGCTTTTTAATGGAAAGATGGAGTGAGGGTTATTAGCTGGGAAGCTGAGAGAAAATGCTGATGATGGCTAAACACCATAGGCCTTTTGGGTCAAGAATTATGCAGATCCGTGTGTGTATGTGTATATGCGTGTTCAGTGTATGAAACGTATACGTGATATGTCATGGCGGCAGGCATCTCTTTCCACACACACACACACAATTGCTCGTAAAGGGACTCAATCCTGTTGCGGCAGCACCGAGCACTGCGGCTGTTGTAAATATAAGGTCTGACTTTAGCACTCTGTTTATGGCGAAGGCTGCAGAAAGAGGAGTGAAGGGAAGCAGGGGGAAGACTGAGTGCACTTCTTTAATGGAGGAGAAAGGAGGCGTAACCACCTGATCACCTCACTAATGGCTTTTCACCCTCCGGACAGAGAAATCAGCTTTTCTCCATACTTTTCTTCTCCCTGATGGTTTTTTGATCATCAGCCCATTTCACTGGAGAGACAATCACTTAAGGACTTGAACGCACTTTCCTTCCCTCCCCTTTTGCATGTCATGCATTTTTCCACACACTTTTTTTTGTCCCAGTGCACACGATTTACTGTCTTGTCTTGGAACATGTTTTAACATGCTTCACACATGGAGAAGTGACCTTTGATCTTGTAAAGTGCAGCACTTATCACAGATAAACATGAGTGGAGAGGTGGAGACTGGATGAGAGAAAAGTATTTGGTACAATTCAACATTATTGCAATTATACATCAGTGTACAGTATGATGTATAACTACTAAACTAGCTCAAGTGTAGGCGAACATTCAACATATACTGTATGTGTGGTGGCCTGGGAAAACCCATTGGATGAAACAAAACAGATTTTGAAAAGTATGTAAAATATATATATATATATATATATATATATATATATATATATATATATATAGCTAAAATGACATGAGTGTTTATTTAGGCTACTTTCTTACCTTTCTGCCTGCAAAGATCATGTTGCCCTGTCTGTGCTGAAAAAATATTAAACACATGCTGTATATATTTTGGGTCAAGAACTATGCAGATCCATAGGTGTATGGTTATATGCGTGTTCAGTGTATGAAACGTATACATATGTCACGGCTGCAGGCATCTCTTTCCACACACACGCTCGTAAAGGGACTCAATCCTGTTGCAGCAGCACCGAGCACTGCGGCACTAAAACCTACATATTAAAAAAAAAACAAAAAAAAAAACATACACAAATAAGCATAGACTTCCAAGGGTTAACAAACTTGCTGGTAAATGCAGTCTGTCTGCCTAAAAATGTCTTAAACATTCCTAGCAAATTTGCTTTTCTCACAAAAAGCCTAATTATTTCAATAGAATCAGATACCTGCTGTCAAAATGTCTGCAATGCTCTTGTGCCATCATCAAAACAGAGAAGAAAGCTTACACACTATGTAGTAGGTGACCAGTCTTAGGTATTTAGCTATGACTCTTAAGTGTACATACTTAATTTCTTACACACATGCACAAAAACGGTGTTTATGCTTGGTTGTATAGAGATGAAGAATTTTTTTTTTGCCACCAATTCCATGTGCAAATGTTACGTGTGTGTGCATGTATGTGTTTGTGTGCAAGCGTGCCTCTGTGTATTTGCTGCATTTAAATTCTGCAGATTGTGTGACATTTAACATTAAAACCATGTTTCCACTCAAAAATATCACATTAATGGTAGTATCTCTCTCTCTCTCTCTCTCTCTCTCTCTCTCTCTTTTTCTTTCCTTTCCTTTCCAGACTGCAGATTTACAGAGTTGTAAACATGACATGACAGTGGCTATTGGATTCTCACTGAAGAGAGCGTGGTCTCTGATAAGGGATGTAAAACTGAACATATGGCCTTCAGCACATCAGTGCAACGCAAATAAACACACCATTTTACCTAACCAGCCATGGTGTCTATACATCTTACTTAATATAAATATTTATCTACAGAATTATGATGGTTATGTAATGCTGTAATGCATTAACTATGGTACTTTATATTCCCAGGGCCATTTTCTGTTTAGAAAGAGGTACTCTGACGTTGTTTGACGTTTTAATATTTTAATATTGCATTACAGCTTTTAGACTAGAGACCTTTAGTGAAAGTTTGACTGAGAGGGATGAGTTGATGATTTTATTATTATTCCCACTAGTTAAACTTCCTTGATTCAAAAAAATGTTACTCTAAATGGTGAACATAGGCATAATTTTAAAATTGAATTAATATATTTTAAATATATATATATATATTTGCTAAATTATTCTAATTCAATTTGAAACACATTTAGACTGTCACCATGAAAAGGGATTGTAAATAAACAGCTTAGTTGTGTATGTGTTTAAGAAGCAGGTTGGGGAGAAAAAAATCTAATTTACTCCAACTGTAGTTAATCGGCCAAGATATTTGGTGCCTGATGCTTCTGCTTCCACTTGGGCCGGTGCTACTAGGCTAATGTAGATAATGTAAAATGTAATGGAAGCTTAAAGCTTTCAGTTCAGCTTTGTGCAAACTGCAGGGAAAAAGTGATCATTAGTGCCGACCCTCGCACGTTTGGCTCTCTAGGCAATATTCACTGCTTCAAGTTATGAATCAAGCTTAGGGAGAGGTTTAACACTCTTATCACTCTGTATTTGTTTCTTTTTTTGCCTCACTTGTATGTAAAATTGAGTTATTAAAGTAAACAAGAATGATTGTAAAATCTGAAAGAGAAGCTATAAACCTACCCTCAAGCAAACTCATAACATGTAAAAGTTTTAATCACATGTGACTTGTGATCTTGTTTTATTGATGAGCTATCAGATGCCTGCAGTTGGCTAGCGTCGCTGTGATTGACAGGGGAGACAGAGTATGCCATCCCTTGCACTCAGAGCACGGCCGGTTTTGCTCTTTTGGACTCCTGGCTGTGGCATTGTTGGGAATCAAACTTGCGATCTCCGGACAATAATATAGATTTTTTTTTAAGGCTAAATCTTGAAACCCAAGCATTTCAACAAAAGTTTGACACCATGTTCTGATTTTTGGAGTGAGGAGTGTTTCATTGCCTTGAGGTTGCCAGGAGCAATAACTGATCTTTTAATCCAGTGCACTGCTGAACTTAGATCATTAATAATATAAACGACCAATAAAAAAAGACCAAAAATAAGACAATTTTGCATGAATACCAGCTGCCTCTCAATTTCCTTGCTCTCTTTTCCTTGCTTGACCGGACCTAGAGGAGAAACAAGTTTGCTGATTGTCAAAAGTTGGAAATTCACACTTTTTTTTTGTTTTTATGTGACTTTTTTTTGGAATAGCTTGCTATCTATCATCCACTATGTCAGATGAGACACTGTTAAGGAACTAACCTGCTGTCTTCCATTCCAGAAGATGACAATGCTCTTCTTAACCTCAGGGAAGTGAACATCCTCATAGACAAGCTGTAAGCTGACAAATTCCTTAATGCTGCTGACCTCATTCAACCTAAAGCATTGCTATACTCTAGCAGATACCCTGTTGAAGATGCATGTTTGCTGGACATGAACCACCCTGAGTGTCTGTCATGTCTCCAGAACTATACATCAAGCTCAAGGAAGAGAACCAGCCTGCCATTAACATTACAACTACACAGAAATTGGTTACCACTGAAATTGTTCAATTTTTCCTTCTTGGCCAGTTATTGCCACACACCCACCCACTCAACACATCACTATCTTCAGTGAACCCCCCCTCAATAATAGTGGCATCTCTAAATCCCTGGATCTCATCTCTCTTCAGATATTACAGCATTTGGCAGATGCCCTTATCCAGAGCAACATGCATTTATCTCATTTATACAATGGAGCAGTCATGGGTTAAGGGACTTGCTCAAGGGCCCAGGAGTGGCAGCTTGGTAGAACTGGGATTTGAGCTCATGACCTTCTGAGTAGAAGTCCAACACCTTAGCCACTGAGCTACCACTATCAACCACAGAGGTTATCGTATATATCTACCATACACTAATCCCTATACCCACTTGCATCATATGCACATCCTTCATCTCAGACATATTCCCCCACCATATTCAAGAAGGCTCAACCTCTACACTTCTCAAGAAGCCAATGCTCAATCAGCAAATAAAGAAATACAGCACCTCCTTCTCTTTATAAATTTTCTTTTTCTTACTGAATGACCTGCTACACCCAAACAGTGAGGTTTCAAAATCAACTACTCCAATAAGATGGCCGTATTGACTATTGGGACACCTTTCAGTCTCTGTTTGTATATTGCTGGACCTGTCTGAAGACTGTCTTCCAGAGCAGTGATTCTCAAATTCTTCAGGGTCCACAGTTTATCCACGTTTTTAATGTGGTTCCATTTAACATTCATTTGTAAGATGCACTGACCCCAGTGTAACAAAATTAAACACAACACCCAACCAGTGAGGACCACAATACTATCGCAGACCATTTTGCTTAAACCATCCATTTTAAAATTGCACTTTTTGGGAGTCTGAACTGTGGTCGCAGCAGTAAATATTTTGTTTACTTGACCACTTTTAATGAGGTTGGTAAGAAAGTAGAGGTTGATAAACAAGAAGAAAAAGTCTTCACTAAACTGTGGTAAAATGTACACATGGCCACAATTAACTTTCATAATACATTGTTTCTTGTGCTTTGAATTTGTTTGCGTGGTTCTTGTTGTTAAACGTGTGGCCTGGAGGATATGGTATCACTTTAATTAGTGTTCTTATACTCATAAGCAAGCACCAAGACCTACCAAGCCACCGTGGTCATCTTTTCGTGTGATTTTGTATGTAATACGTGTATAAAATGGATCTTGATGTTATGTAACCCTCCATAGTAGTAGATTTTTGTTAAAAGTATTGATTGAATTTCGTATACTTTTGTAACACCTGTCTGTTACAGATAAATAACATTGTCTTTAAGTATCATTGTTGCTCTGACTGTGATAGGAAATCAGCATAGATATTGTTTCTTTGTTAGTCTGATAGAACATATCTTAGGAAAACATTTAATAGTGTTTTTTTTTTGTTTCATGATCCAGATATGTCTGCATTGTTTATACGTGAGAGGTGATAAAGTATTGATTACTTTTCTGTAACAGCAGCTCTGACAGTATTTCTTCACTGGCTTATATTAATGTACTCATTCTAAAACGTATCATATAATTTCTGTAATAATGACTTATGCTGGGATTTGTATGGCAGACTCTCCACATAATCTAAGCCTGATCACAAATAGATGGACAAACATGTTGCAATTGAATAAAGAAAAACATATAATCATTAATATGGTTACGTTTCTGTGAAGAGACTTTTATGTAACATTTATTTCAGGAGTCTCAAGTGTCAGCGCTGTATAACAGTCAGAGGTAAGGCTGTAACTTTACGTCTTCCGCCATAGGAAAGTCTTCAGTATGGAGGACGTTGCACTTCATGGTTCCTCAGGAGCAAGGTGCATTTTTTACTGTTTTATTAACTGCTAAAAGAAAGCGACAGAAGACTTCTTTATAGCTGTTATAACGTAAGCGATAACGAGAACTAATTTGTTTCATGAGCACGCCACAACATTAATTGTAACTATAAACAGGCAATAGGTATGATGCGTCATCCTTTGATAAACATTTTGATTTTGAAATAATCAGCTTCAGAGTGGTAACACACAATTTCCCTATGACAGTACTATAACACTGTCTTTTTTTCCTTACTTAAAATACATGATTTTTTTTTTTTTGGTGAATGAAGGTTGAGAATGATGAAGAGACAACTCCTTCATACTATATGAAGATCATCTACTCTACATGTTTACTTGAGAATAAAGCCAAGTTAAAATTTAAAACTGGGCGAAGAAAAGACATGTAAGTTAATATACTAAGTGTACTATGATTGTACTTTTAGAAGCAGAAGAGCCACTGCATCTGCAGACAACTAAAGTTAAATCTGTATTCATAAACTGATGAGTTTTCTGCAGTGGCCCCTCATTAGCTTCAAACAGCTCATTTAGACGTTTTCCTTTGAATAGTGATTTTTGGAGTCGCTCTCTCTTCTTTCCCGACGAACACGAAAATCGGTTCTAATTAAAGTGCGCCCATGCTCCTCTCCCACTCCTCAGGCTAATTGGTGACACTGCGGCTCGTTTTAGCCCAATTACTCTCCTCCTCTCTCTTCACTGATTAGCAATCATCTTTCACTCTTTTCTATTTATCCTCTCATTTCCAGCTTGGGGCATTTAGTAATCCAAAATGAGTGAGTGAACTGCAGTAACTTCTCCAAGTCTTATCAACTGGGATGTTCATATTAGCAGTCAGGGTGCCAGCGGATGAAGTTTTTTTTTTTAATTTGACGTTGTTACTCCGCTACCTTCATTCTCTCCTACTCACTGTTTAATGGAAGCTTTCCCCTTACGCCTATTAGAAGGAAAGAAAAAGACTGTTCTGAAATCACAGCTGATGAACTCGGATCTATTATACACACCCAGCACATTACTGAAAAGAAGATTGTATATTTGTAGTGCATGGTTATAGCTGTGTTTTGCAGGAATGTGTAATGAGTGTTTGAGTACAGTATTCTGTAAGCTAGTTTAGATGAACGTGAGTACAGAAAAAACATCTGTCATTTCTGAAATTGATTTTAAAAAAAAAGAACAATATTGACATACTATGGTCTGCTATGACTGTCATAATCCTGCTAACCACTGAGCATGCATCTTATTTTCCGTACTATAAGTTGCACTGTATAATGTAAGGAAGAAAAAAAAAACATTGGGGCATGTTATAGGAAAATAATCAATAAAGTCACAATGTAGTGCTGTTACCATGCCAACTTGATTCATTTACAACTCGGACTAAAATACAATTAAGGTACACTGAGTTTTAATATTAAGCAATAAAACATGATGTGACATGATGTAGTATTGTTACACACCATTACAACTCCAAAGTTGGCTATTTTCTGATGTCATTCTTTAATGAAAAAAAAAAGTTATATAATTCTACACAAAGCACATTATTTCCTGTTATCATTTCTGTTATAAAACAGCATTAAGAATAGAATAGACAGATAAGGTCATGTCAATATGTATCTAAGGATATATGAATTCATCTGTGCAAGTGTGTACTGTACGTATGTAGGGGTGTGTGTGTGTGTGTGTGTGTGACTGAGACCATGTTTTTTATATGAATGAGATTCCTTCTACTTTCCAAGGTTTTAAGCTTTGTTACCCACAGATATATGGAGATGTCAGCCTAACTGCATCTTCTTTAATACAGAAAAGCATAATAATTAATAATGTAATACTGAAGCAGTTGAAATTTTATGCCGATGGATTTTTTGTGTATTTTATCCTTGACAATTTTGAAATGAGTATGAATTAGTCTTTTTGGGCCTTTTTGTATTATGGTTTAATATTTTGTCAAATAAAACAAACAAACATGGCTGGAGTTTGACTAATTAGCTGCTTCCTCTTCCCGTTGGCACATTAGCCATCTTGGTAGGAGTTAATTACCCTCATCACTAAAAGATCTGATAAATATTTGAATCATTTTGAAATACGACTGGCCCTCTGGACAGAATTAACATTATATATTCCCTGTGCTAATCTTTACAGAATCAGAAAGTCATCCCAAACATTGAAGTTGGATTTGATATTTCATTATATTTAAGCAGCTCTGCATGCATTTTATTTTCATATGGCTTCACAAGGCTACAGATTGTCTTTGTAGCAAAATATGTGGCATTTTAAGTTTTTGTCCAGGAATTCCCGGCATGGGTTCGTAAGGCTGAAAGAGGGCTGTGTTTGAGTTGGTAGTGGAAAACAGTTGGCATAGCCTTGGGTGTCTCTTGCCCCTCTGAATCTGGACATTCAACTTTTGACTCTTAACAGGGCTCATGAGCCACAATCTGTTGTACTGCACTGCTTTTTTGTCCTTAACGCACATGCTTCGAATTCAAATCAGTAGGAAAGCACTGACCAATCTGCTTACATACTAATTTGAAAAATTTGTTAAAAAAAAATTTTTTAAAAAATGAATTTGTAAAAAGCAAGGTAATAAGCAAAGTACACAAAGTTTCTAAAGAAACAGCATGTTTCGGACAAAAGTCCCAAAATTTTACTTGCTCTTTAAAATTAACATGTTAAATTTCATGTAGACACTGTAGATTTTTACCTAAGAACTGCTGCTGTAATCATCAAAACTGTCCTGTGCTCATCCCAGGACTCTTAGTCACAATATTCTCATACTGAACATTTAAATTCAATTAAATTTTATTTGTATAGCGCTTTTAACAATGGACATTGTCACGAGGCAGCTTTACAGAAATAAATGGATTCAAAAAATATATTGTGAAGAAGAAGCCTCTTTCGGCTGCTCCCGTTAGGGATCATTTTTCCACATTTGATTTGGCACACTTTTTTTGAGTCAGATGGCCTTCCTGATGCAACCCTCCCCAATTTTATCCCGGCTTGGGACCAGCACTGAGAGCGCACTGTTGCACACAACCCCAGTGGCTGGGGTTGGTTCCTTGGCCAGGAATCAAACCTGGGCCGCAGCGGTAAGAGTGCTGTGGCCTAACCACTAGTCCTCCAGGGACCCAAACAAAGTGGCTTCAAAGAATACATTGTAAATATGTGAATTTACCCCTAATAAGCAAGCCAGACGGTGGCAAGGAAAAACTCCCTGAGACAATGAGGAAGAAACCTTGAGAAGGAACCAGGCTCAAAAGGGAACCCATCCTCATCTGGGTGCAACGGATAGTGCAATTATAAATAAATCCCTTCTATTATCGTGTACTATATGGACAAATAGTGCAAATGTGCAACCAGTAAATTCATCAGTTTTCGCAAGAAGTTGATGGTGTCCTGGGTATGAAGGTGCTCGTGGCCACCAAAGCAATCTCAGTCCCAAGCAATTACAGTACAGCTCCCCATATTTGATCCCCAAGCCATCTCCATGCCCCAGGTGGCA